TCATTCAGAAGTAAACATAGAACTGAAACTTGTATTTAACTAAGCAAGTTCAAATGTTTATAAGCGACTCTATGCATGAAAGAAACAAACAAAAGTAATTCGAATTCATCCTGTTGAATTACTTCTGAGTAAACATGACTGGCCGGTTTCACAATGAATTTACATCATTTATTTTACATCTAAATGATATCGCCATATATATATATATATATATATATATATATATATATATATATATTAGATGCTTGGAGGCAATCGGTAGGAAGCCTTGTGTCCAATCAAAAATACCCAATACAGTCCTACAGGAGGTCAATCACGAGTCCGAATAGCTCAGTGGTAACGTCTATGACTGCAGCACTCACTTGGTGACATGGGTTCGAATCTCAGAAGGGATATGAGTCCCATCGAGGTTGCAGATACACGTTGCTGACTTGTGAGTGCCAACTAGGAGGATACCTATTTGGAAGGCTTCCAACTATCTAATACCAAAAATTCACATAGCACTGTGATGATGAGCCAACTAGCATGGTGGCCACATTGCAAGCTTGGCTGATAGAATTCAGTCTACACCGAAGATAGGACTAGACACATTATGTAGTTACTGACTAGTGTTCAATCAAATATACATATATATTCTTGTATTTATTATTGTACTCCACTCAGGAGATTTAGATTATTTACTTTTAGTCGGGCAAATATTAGAACTAGAGATAATTTTATAAAGATGAATTGGACACATTCTGACAAGACCTCTGAGTGACCCCACGCGCCAGGCCCTCGACTGGACTTCGAAAAGGAAACGACGAATTGCGCTCTGGGAGTGGCATGGAGGAGATTGTGTGAGGAAGAGACCAGAGCCCATGGGCAATTATGGAGGATATTATAGAGCCTGCTAAAGAGGACTTCAGAGAACAGGACGAAGTGGCGATGCTCTGCTGAATCCTTATGTTCCATTAGAAAACCAATAGGAACGATAGCTTATATATATATGCATATATTATTTGACTATAGCAATAATGAAATGAGTATTTCATACACATAAATTTCGATGAAGCGAGAAAGACCAAATTTGTAGTAATAAATGAAGTTGTTCGGTTTCAAAGGTTCTCTTCAACTCTGTGTTCACAAAGTGTCTGGGGACTGCACTTTGTGAATTGAAATGCAAACTTATAAGCTAACACCATTTATTAGATTTTTTATGTTTCTGGTCTTCGCCTCCCTTTTCATTTTCTGTACTGTGAAAGGCATATAATTTCATGGTAACCTAAACTAGAAATTGTAATTTTTATATTTCGGATGCGTTAATTTTTTAAAACATTTTTGTACTACCATTCAAACATTGAGGTGTGTTATCTTCCTCCTTTAATAAGCACGGTAATTTCAGGTAATTTCAGATGACAACCTGTGAAATGGAATGACCTCAATGCATACTGCAAATGTGATGTTTCTTACATTATTTCTCTATTCCTTATCTAGTAGACAATACACTGAGTCCACACAATATCAAAGAAAGTTTTAGATTTAGGAGAACATCTGATGATAGAAATCCGTCTCCTATAAGTAATTAGCTTTCAGACTAGACAGTGAAGTGTTTTCCATATATAATCTGGTAGTTACGCTTATAGTATATTTCGAGGACTTAGGAATGTAGTGTAAGTGAGTTGAAAGTGGAAAGAAACAGCTGTCTGTTTTTCCCTGAAAAAGCCTTCATCATTAACTTATTCCCTGCACTAATCACCATCAACGGGAGAGATTTAGCAGAGGTTACTTCCTCCACTTATCCTCTAGGAAGCATCGTTTCAACTACAGGCCAGCAGAACGGATGAAGATATCTAAGTCAGCCAGTCAGAATCGGAAAGACAAGATACGCCTTCATCAACCTGAGACCAGTTTGGGAATTGTTTGCTTCACTCAGCCAGCATAAGGAACAAGATTCGGATTCTGTTCAACACAAAAGTCGAGTCGGTCCCTCTATACAGGTCAGAAACTTACACTACATGTCACGAAAAGGATTTCCAACAGGTTATTGCAGACTTTCACCATCAGTTGCCCTCTTCGCTGGCTCCATACAGAAGACCAAATGTCCAGAAAGAATTAGCAACAAGAAACTGTGGGAACCAACCGACCAAGAGCCGACTGCTCAACAAATATGTAGGAGAAAGTGGAGATGGATAGAGCATACGTTGAGGAGGCTGTCGAATGACATCGCGTGCAATGTAGGCCATCGCTCGAGTGAAATCCCAATGGGAAGTGTCGAGTGGGTCGTCGGTGCGAGGGTGACATGGGGGATATCATGTGGGCGGGAGGAGGTGAGAGATTATGGGAATCGTAGACCCATCTGAAGTGGACGGCAGAAAATAGAAGAAAGTGGAGATGTGTTGCTGAGGCTGCATGTTCCACTTGGAAACCAAGGAAATAATAATATGTATAATACTTATTTAGCTGGCTGTTTGCTTCGTATTTCTGTAAATCAAAAACAAAAAAATGCTTTACAGAGAGACATAAAACTTTCACTCCAAAAACTGTGTCGAATGTTTTATTCTCCTAAATCTACCTTCGCATGCTTATTGTTGTTTTATTATTTGTTATATGCTATAATCACCACTTTAAGCAGAAAATTATTTTCAGTATAATTTGAAACAGGTTTTTAATTGATCCTTTTATCATAAAAAAGAAACAAATTGTTTATGCGATTATCTCTTGAATTCCAGTAACTGTATCACAAATAGTATACTTGTGTTATCAAAACTATTAATCATTTTGATAGAGTATGGAAGAAATTGTACAAGGCATACAAAACGTAAATGCTATTCCACATTTTCAACGTAAGTTTTAGGTAATAAAGAAATATACAACTACTCTGCGTTTCGTGAGGTCGAAAAGTGTGTATATATATGATCTTCAGATATGGGCGCCACTTAAATGAGATATTAACCTCGCCTATAAACAAATAAATAAGCTTTATACACAAATGCAATCAACCTGTACTTCACTATACCATTACAGCCGTGACTTGCCCAGAAGAAATACACACTTGTTCAATGCATTCAAAAAAAAGTATCATGCATTAAAGTAATCAGATGCCTGCATATACAAGCAGAATGTTTGATAAGTAAAAGGAAAAGGAAAAAGAACAGGAAACTGAATCGTACATCTTCCTGCATGTCTTTATGTATATCCAGAACTTTTTTTCATCAAAACTTGATACACAGTTTGTTTGTTCTATCTGTCTGTATCCTGCTGTGCTCCACTAGAGATAGTTTACTCCTAAACAGAACTAATTTACTACAGAGTTGCTATTTTGTATTTCCTAAACTTTATTCTTCACTTTTATTTTTTAGTTTATTAAAAATAATATGTCGAAAATATTTCGGACTAACACAAAACAATTATCTTTCTTTTCTTTCTTTTTACGTATATCTTTCTTTGTTTCCATGCATGTATATATATATATATATATGTCTTATTGTAATAACAATCTAATGGAAGGAACTATCAAGTATCACTGATATATTTGCTTAGTAGTTAGTACCGGAATCTGGAATTCTGTCTTCATCCAGCTCGCGATTAATTAAATGGATTTAACTGCAGTTTAGTGTTCCCACTGGGACTCGAATGTAGCGCCTATCGTTCCAAACACCGAGGCGTTATTCACTAGGCTAGTCAATCACAAAAGCCACCTCCTGTTAAATATGTATCATTTGTTATTTAACTTTTAAATTTCAAACTGAAGGGGCCCTGAATTGAACGAAATGTCTGCCCAGGATTTCACTTCTGGCTATTAAAAAAAGGAAACAACATAAATTTTGTTTGATTCAATTTTAAATTTTCCCGTCGATTGATTGGATCGAAGTGCTCGGTCTCAGGTTGACATGTCAGCTTCTTGTGAAGATGCTTCGACGATGTCTAGGTATTCAGATGACGAGACCCAAATAAGACGAAATGCGCATCCTGGATTCCACCACTAGTCACCATCCACCAATTAACTTCTAACATAAATTTTAACTTAAGACATCATTCTTAATAGAATCCGAAATTTAAACAGAAACCTAGGTCAAATTAAGTTATACTACATGGAGCTCAAAGTTCCACCAATAGAAGATGTTGTCCAGAAGGACGACGAAAGCTCCGCAACTAAACCAACCAGCTCAGAGAACACTTTTAATTGCGAATAAATGATTATTTATGCGGCATAAAACTATTCATCGGTCAGTATACTTAATGCAGTTGCAGTTGATTTAGAAAACCAATATTATCTTAAAAGCTATGTTAGTTAACTTAATGCCTGTTTATAAAGAATTGCCAACCAGTTAGGTAACTCCACAAGAAAGAGACTTTCTTTCCTTTCTAGGAAATGTAGTTGAATAATTTCATTGTGATTTTGCTGTCTTCTTGGTCTACAAGTGAATTTTATGCTTCGTTTTGATAAGAATAAGTTAACACAACTAAAGGTGTACGTACATCTAACCAGACACCATTAATTTAAAACTAAACTCTTGTAATTTGTTTATATTGTATTACCTCAAGCGAAAAGCCTGTTAAGTTATGCAAACCTAAGTGATGTATATTTATACTACTTAGCCTGCGGCTTACATTCTACACCAATTACGCTTCATTTTATCAGCAGAATATTCCTGATATTAACCTGCATGTTGACGTTACATTTTTATGAATTTATTGCGATTATCGTGATAAAGTAGCCACTTTTATCTAATAACAAGATTTTAGCAAAGGGTAGACAGTTTACATTTGCCTTAAGTTACAACTAATAAATAGATGGTTAGTTGGTGAGTTCCAGGTAAACAATATCCAGACACTTTTTACTTACCACTACTGCACTTTTATAAAACCATACTCTTAAACACTTTGGAAACGGTTAAGCCTTATTATTCATGGTTAATTTTCCTATCGCCAACTAATTTGAAGTTTTTTCTTTGCATACTACTAACAAGTAACCTTAGTACCTTAGAATAAAATTTACCGTGTTCATTTTATTTTAGTCCCTCCACGAGCAGTATATGTACAATCGTTTCCTGAAGGTTTGATACCTGAATCAACCCAGAAAACATTTATGTGTCAGACAGATAGTATGGGAAGTAATCCGCCAGCTATACTTAAATGGCAACAGCTTGATTCTGCTGGTGCAGTTATTTCACTCGAAAGTTTGAAGATGTCTATAGAAGTCGATTTTAATAAACAAACCAATGGAGCTGTTGTTACACGTTCTAATCTAACTGTTCTCGCCACAAGAGCATTAAATGGAAGACGTTTTGAATGCTCAGTTGTATTCAACGACTCAAAAACTATGCTCCGATCGGAAGGTTTCTTGGAAGTTATGTGTAAGTTAACTAATGAAAATATTTAATTGTAAGTTTTGACTTAGTAGGTTCTTCATTAAAAGTTTGAAACCCATTTTGTTCTTTCAGATATCAGTACTAAAAGGCGCTAGATGCAAAACCGCAGGAATATTTTGTCACTAAGGTGATGGAACACAGACGCTTCCAGATCCAGAGAATCATATAAAATCTAAAACTTCTTCCAATAAACACAATAAAACAAAAGTATATCAATGAGTCGGGACCATATCCAACTATTTCACTAATGAGATATTGACTGTGTACTGAGGTATCTTAGAAGTAATTCTATTTTCTCGCACGTAATGTTTGTCTGGACGCACAATCTCAAATAAATACGCATTGAAATATATTAGAAGAATCTAAAAACCGTAAAATGTCTGAAGTTGTGACTAACGAAAATACTAATTTTCACTGTTATAGAGGGTATCGTAGTTATGATCGTAAGTTAAGGTGCACTAATAATACAACCCTGTGAATTGGATTTTCATGAGCTAATTAGCAACTGACTAATATTTCCAGAGAATTGTTAATGGGTTAAATAGTCAATATTAGCTGTAGTAAATTTCTATAATATTTTATATTTTTTTATATTTTGATTTACAGCTTGATGCCACACCGTATTTTCAGTACAAGTATGGAATTTTCAGCATGGATATCGGTAGCCCAAATTTTGCAGGCCGACCATAGATATCGGGTGTGCGTCGGCAGGGGATCGAACCCCGGACCATGTGCATGGTCGGCGAGAGTCCTAACCACTGCGCTACCGAGTTCTTTAGATGAAAAATTTAACCAGACCCTCCGTAAACTCAGTGAACTTTAGTAAACTGATATTATAAAGGCTGTTTGAGGATATGCGTTAAACCTCTGTGAAACAAATTTACTAAGCGCCAGAGGCGGCCTTTACCGTATATAAGAAGGACAGACTTGAAATTGGTGTTGAAAATGCGAATCTTTTTCTTTTTGCTGGCTGAGTGAGTGAAGTAGAAGATTTACAAACTGGTTCCAGACTGATGAAGGTGTATCTTGACTTTCCGATTATGACTGGCTGACTTTGACATCTTCATCCGGTGCGGCTGCCTGTCGTTGAAACGATGCTTCCTAGAGGATAAATGGAGGAAGTAATCTCTGCTAAAGTGGTATTTTTCATAACATTATTAATTACAAAGCCACGCCTAATGTCCGAACATACACGGACTTCGTGTTTTAGTAGTTAGGGTATTAACCAGTTTTCAAAAACGCTTGTACCACTTATGTCTGTGTGTCTGTCTTACAAAAATCAACAGGCTTTTTAGTAGTATTTCCTCTACAACTGTTCTTACATGTAATGATAATATACAACTAAGGATATAATGGGAATTCAACAGGACACAATGCTCAAGATCTAACTGTCAAAAAGAGACAGATAGTCGTCAGTAGAAATGGGGTGACAAATAAGTAACTACTGGTATCTGTTTTCAGAATTTCTATGTCAGAATATTTCCCAAGCTTCTTGTTCGAGGTTTTAGCAGATATTTAAGAAAACTAACGTATTATGCATAATCCCACAAAATAAGGTTATATAATCCACACGATCTCCACACAGACTTGAGAGTAGTGAAAGCTTGTCGGAAAAGCAAGACAAACTTTCACTACTCTCAAGTCTGTGTGGAGGTCAGCAGCACTCAGCATCAAAAAATAAGATCCGGATTTTCAACTCCAATGTGAAGTCAGTCAGTGCTACTATACGGATCAGGGACTTGGCCAGTGTGTAATAAAGAGCATCTCAAACAAACTACAGACCTTCATTAACAGTTGTCTTAGCTCAATGCCACTCAAGATCAGATGGCGTGTCAGAAAAGATCAGCAACAGGGAGGGATCTCTGGGAGTGAACCAACACAGCAGGAACCGATTGTGAAACAAATAGGCAGGAAGAAATGGAGATGGATTGGCTGGCCATACTCTGAGGAAACAATGCATCAAGTGACATCACTAGACAAGCCATCGCTCGAGTGGAACCCGAAAGGGAAGCGGCGAGTTGGTCGTCAATGTGAGGGTGACTTGGAGGAGGTCATGTGAAGAGGAGATGAAAACGTGTGGGGAGACATGGAGCTAGGTGAAGACTCTAGCAGAGAACCGAACGCAGTGGAGATGCACGGCTGAAGCCCTATGTTCCTCTATGAATTAAAGGAAACAATAATAATAATCTACACGGCGTTAATGACAGTTTAGATTCCTGCGATTTTCGATCTAGACGTAAAGAGTATTGACAGTTTTATAAACGATGGTTTTGTTTGTACATTCTTAAGCCATTCTATTGTCGACTTCAATTACTTTTTGAATTATCTTTCATACTTTTATTGTTAATCGACGTTGTCATGGTAAAACCTTTATCTCAAAACAACAATAAAAGGTGTTCCTGATTGATTTGTTCTTCTTATTTCATGTGCTATCAAGCATTCGCAATTTCAAATTACCTCTTTCTACATTATTTACCTTTATATGTCTAATTTTTGTTTGACTTTGTTCGAATATTTCGAGGAAAATAATCTCCTAATCGTGAAAATAAATCCGTCAAAGCCAAGTGTTGAATTCCTTGTATCTACTTGGATCATTCAAATTATTCAAGTGCCGTTAATTAAAAATATGACTAGAATAAATGATTAAACTTAGGGACTTGCATTAATCCTTTCATGTTTTCAGTAAACCATCCTATTTCACAACATAATTTTTCGCTGGATTACCAACAATCGAGTGGATGATAGGTGCTGGGTTCAAAGCACAGTAGCAAGACCAATACATAATACAGGTGATAATTCTAAAGTAGAATCAAACGTATGATATATGTTCGATTTCTAACCGACATTCATCTTACCAGAACTACTTCACTATTTGGTTGGTGAATAGCAGGCACAATTATATTGACTCTTTAATGGAAGCCGAAATCTACCAATAAGTCGAGTCACTAACGACTCTCATTAAAGTTGATTCATCGTCGTGTGCACAGAGAATTAAATATAATGGAAAAGATTTGAAGCTGAAGTGGATGATTTTGGTGTAACAGAGCATACTACAAATTGAAATATGCACTGAAGATGTTACCTAGTAAGGAAATGAAAGCTTCGCAAGAAAACCATCCAACTCAGAGAACCCAACTATATCAAGAACAGAGAATTATTAATCCCTTGAAGTTTTCATTATTCAACAAAACACCAAGATCCAAACAACCATGACAAGTGTTCACTAGCTTTATTTAATCCTATGATAATCTTACACATATATATATACTATAAATTAAATAAAATTATTGATGTGAGGTTATCTTTTGTCTTATCTGTACAGTTTCCCCTAATAATATACGATTAACAGCTCAGCCAATCAATGGTGTTCCAGAAGCTAGTCGTTTAGAACTGACATGTTCTACGAGTTCTTGTCATCCACCTGCTGTGATACGTTGGCTTGAAATACCACCAGATAAAATAAAAGAAAAGAATAAAAATACTGAAGAATTTTTTCAACGAATAAATTCATTTTCAAATGAATTAACTGATCTTGCCCAATTAGAAACTGTAAGCGGATTGTGTTAATTTGTTTTGCTTTTCATTTCAGTCTAATTATTATTATTATTATATTCGTTTGCAAAAAAAAGAAACATTTCAATCATTATATATTACTTGTGAGTAGTCTGTTAAGTAGGGGAATAAAAAATAGGTAGCGCAAAACGAAGACTGTATAATAAAGACGGTATTTTGAAGCACTAATTACGTGTAACTTTAAAAGTACCAGTAAAGAAAATATTATCAGTATTGCTACAATTATTTTATCTTCTTTCTCATTTTTAGGGTGTTCATTAGTGAACGCAGCAAGATTCTTTTTTATAATAAGATTCATGATGTTAATGAACTATCTATCTCTGAATCGTTTGCTTTCACCTTATAATACTACTCCATCTAAATCTATTACTGTTTCATACTATCCATCTTATAATTAGGAGAATGAAATTTAAATTCATACTTTACTATAATAGTTATATAGAGTATTACCCTTATCATAGACTATTTTCTTTTAAAGGTTCAAGTTATACAACAGTTGTTCTGTAGGCGTAAATACCTTCTTACTATTTATCCATTCAAATTTACTAATGATTTGTTTTCATGCTATAACATCCTATAACTATTCGTGAATAATTGTAGGTTAATAGAAGAAATGCATAAGTTTTGATAATTTCATTGCTGTTGTAGACGTTACTATATATATATATATGCATTTCGCTGCTTCATTTCCCACTTCTTGTAGTAAAATTCAGCTCAAACCTGTATAACCAAAACTACTCACTAATTTGTCCCTAAAGCATAGCCACTGTGAGTTTTTCAGTCTTACATATTCCTGCTGACCGAATTCTATCAGTCAAGTCGGCCATATATTAACCAAGTCAATATGATTCTCAATAGAAAATCCGAAGGGACAATAGCCGCCTCAAGGTTTCAGATACACCTTACTACCTGGGAAGCATCGTTTCAACTACAGGAGGAACTGACGAGGATATCAAAGCAAGGATCGGAAAAGCAAGACAAGCTTTCACTACTCACGTCAAGTCTGTGTGGAGGTCAACAGCACTCAGCATCAAAAATAAGATCCGGATTTTCACCTCCAATGTGAAGTCAGTGCTACTATACGGATGGATCAGAGACTTGGCACGTCATAAAGAGCACATCAAACAAACTACAGACCTTCATTGACAGTTGTCTTCGCTCAATACTCAAGATCAGATGGCCGGCCAGAAAAGATCAGCAACAGAGATCTCTGGCAATGAGCGAACCAACTCAGCAGGAACCGATTGTGAAACAAATGTGCAGGAAGAAATGGAGATGGATTGGCTGGCCATACTCTGAGGGAACCATCAAGTGACACCACTAGACAAGCCATTGCTCGAGTGGAACCCGAAAGGGAAGCGGCGAGTTGGTCGTCAGTGTGAGGGTGACTTGGAGGAGGTCATGTGAAGAGGAGATGAAAACGTGTGGTCAGACTTTGAGCCAGGTGGAGACTCTAGCAGAGAACCGAACGCAATGGAGACACACGGCTGAAGCCCTATGTTCCTCTAGGAATTAAAGGAAACAATAATAATTATTGCAGTAGACTACCAATAAGGGCAAAACTAAAGCTTCCTAGTGATCATCTCTAACCAATTGATACCAGTAGTCAAATTCTTTTGAAGTTGTTTATCGCCATAAATCAAATGTGACATTCCCAAAGCGCTTTGGTAGATAGAAACTAAATTTTCAACCTAAGAGACAGAAAATTTCTGACACTTATTATCGATTCCTGTTCAAAGGTGAAACTGGTAACATCACTGTATAATGATTCTTGGGGATAGAAGTATTATACAGAGAACCTGCAACTTATTTGCTATGCTTCGCATTATAAATTAGTGATTGAGGATTCTTCTCTAAAAGAGAAGGATGTAATTTAAGGCATTTATATATAAAAGGCGTGCATCGGTGGCACAGCAGTAGAATGCTCGCCAACCACGCCCCATGTGGTACGAGGTTCGATTCCCGGCCGACGCACTCCCAACCCTCGCTAAGCCAGTAATAAGACTGGTTAAGAGGGAAGGTTGGGTTGGTCATGAGGCTAGCAACTTCATTCTGTAAAAATAAACACCACTGCTACCGAAACTTTGAGCCTCTAGCTTGAAGCTCTATGTTCCACTGTGAACGTAAAGTAATAAAAGGTACATATATATAAAAGGCTGCTGTCAGTAGATGTATACCACTAATAGTTTAGACCCCGAGAATCCTTCATAACTTGCATGATCAACACATAATTCAAAAACCATCTTGATAGCTAATATTAATTAATCAGGTATGAACTACGAATTTTATTAATGTGCCTTTTATGGAAATAACTGATGGATGCGATCTCTTTTTTGACATTTTTAAAAATTAAAAATTGAATAGAAACAAGGTGATTTTGGTGGAACTAAGGTCTCCAGTACACTAGTTATTACGAAGACCTACAGATCTCAACAAAATACAATTTTTCAATGTCTAGTCAATCATACAGGAATGAACAAACCAGTTCTAACTGAACACAGACTACAGATTTTGTGTAAGTATATTCATAATTAATAAGCTTTTCCTAATTTCCTTTAACTTTCACCTTGTAATTTATTTTTCATCTTTAGGCAGAATTCTGGCGTAGACGTGACATCCGGCTGGCTATCGACCAAAAAGCGTGTGTACTGCTCAGCAGCCGTTCGCTCTATCCTCCTTCATGGCAGTGAGTGAGACATGGCCATTGAAAGTGAAAGACATGAAAAGGCCGGCTAGCTGTCTTTGACCATAGATGTCTGTGTTCTATCTTCCGTGTCACGTGGCGGTATAATAGGTTGAGCAATATTGAGGTTAGGCATCGGTCGAGTCCTAGGTAAGGTGAGGAAATCAATCGACGATTTTGTGAAGTTACACCTATTGAGACGGTTAGGACATATATTACGCATGCCCAGCCATCGGCTTCCTCGACTGACGGGAAATGTTAACTCACATGGGGTCAGGTTGGGAAAGAGCCAGTGATGGACAAACCAAAACATGGCTTCATTGGTCAATGAAATCCACAACAGTTAGTTTAAGCCAGTCACGTAGGAAGGTGTAGACTTCCTGACTGGTCGGATTCCTCGAGACGGTAAACACCAGTGGAGGATGGAGGAAATTGATGATATGGATCAAAATCGTTCTCATTAGCTGGCGCAGATGCATCCACTCCTTGTGACTTACAATACCCAATGAAACTATATTGTTCTTCGATATTATTATTCTTTTGGCCCCATATCTCTGTTCACTGTCTCTATTTTGCATTTCTTTTTACTTTCTTTTCTTGCTTTGTGTGCTACATGGAGTGTGGCAACTCAAACTGATGCACTTCGGTGCAAAGTTCTATGTTGAAACCTGTCAGTCAGTCAGGCAGGTAGAATTCATCCCTTCCAATTTTTTGTAATGAACACTTACCCATTAAAAGCCTAACATCTTCCTATTCATTTGATTAATTCCTTGAGTATTGCATTCTAAGATGAGTTTAATCAAGCAAAACCACCTGTTGGTAAGCTTTCAGCAGTAGATATGGTCACCTTTAGTTATAAAGCACGTTTGATAGAATGATTACTCAGAAATGAAAACGAAATGATGTTGAAAAAAAACTTAATCTGTCATTAATATTTGTGCAAAGACTTCGTGTTTAGTTCACTAAATTAACATATTGATCATCTAGAAAGCAATGTAGACAACAAACAGATTGTTTAATGCGACTTTATTTGCAACCAGAGCAAGTAGAAACTGTTGTCTAAGTATCCTAATACTCCATTGAGTAATATTCAGATCAGACTGAAATTTTTACGTAAGAATCATTAATGGTGATGAGAAGATTTTCTTGTCATGTCACTAATACTGTATCACCCTGATATGTCAGATGAACTTATCTAATATGCAATACAGTCAAGAGGATTTCTTCCTTCAAATGCCGGTGATGAGAGAGGGAGAGGAAACTATCCGGTAAAATTACTCCAACACCTCTCAGCTTACTAACCAGTGTATGGTTTCTTATTCCGTTTATATAGTACTCTATGACTATAAATTGACAATAATTTTGAAAGCCTTCCCAAATGATAAAATCAGTCTTCTTATAATGTGCTTAGTGAATGACCGCCTCTCAATGTCTTTTCACAAACCAATGTTGAAAAAGTGTGATCGTTAGCAACAGGGAACTATGGCACCATGATTGGTTTCAACACAAGTTTTTTTCATAGACGGATACCAATAGGACTACGAATATCCTAAAATCGTCTCGTTCCATCATGTAAATCATCTTCATTATAGACCACTAAATCCCTAGGAAATCAAAGGTTGACCAGCTTACTAACACATTATTATTTATTATTGTTTCCTTTAATTCCTACAGGAACATAGGGCTTCAGACGTGCGTCTCCATTGCGTTCGGTTCTCTGCTAGAGTTTTCACCTGGCTCCAAGTCTGCCCATATCTCCTCTTCACATGACCTCCTCCAAGTCACTCCTGGACAACCAACTCACCGCTTACCTTTCGGGTTCCACTTGACCGATGGCTTGTCTAGTGATGTCACTTGATGGTTTACTCAGAGTATGGCCAGCCAATCCATCTCCATTTCTTCCTGCCTATTTGTTTCACAATCGGTTCCTGCTGAGTTGGTTCGCTCCCAGAGATCTCTGTTGCTGATCTTTTCTGACCGACCATCTGATCTTGAGTATTGAGCGAAGACAACTGTCAATGAAAGTCTGTAGTTTGTTTGAGATGCTCTTTATGACGCACTGGCCAAGTCTCTGATCCGTATAGTAGCACTGACTGATTTCACATTGGAGTTGGAAATCCGGATCTTATTTTTGATGCTGAGTGCTGTTGACCTCCACACAGACTTGAGAGTAGTGAAAGCTTGTCTTGCTTTTCCGATTCTTGCTTTGATATCCTCGTCAGTTCCGCCTGTAGTTGAAACGATGCTTCCAAGTTAGGTAGGTAAAAGAGGTTGTTTCTTTCAGGTTCCTCCCATTTATGCTGATTGTTGTCTGTTGTTGTTGTTGTTGCTGTTGATGGTGTTATCCAGGAATCTTCATCACCTCTGTTTTCTATATGTTCACCTGAAGTCCTATCTTTGATGCTTCTCCTATCGCCAACTCGTTGCTTTTCGCTTGCATATCTTCCAGTTTGTGGGAAATCAGACATATATCATCGGCGAAGTCCAGATCCTCCAAGTTCTTTGTGTGAGTCCATTTTATGCCTGTTCCCTCATTGCCCGCTGTTTGTCGCATTATCCAGTCTACTGCAATCAGGAAAATCATTGACGATAGTAGGCAGCCAGCTTGTCTTACTCCTGTCCTCACTTCGAAGGATTTTGTAAGTTTCCCGTTGTGGATTACTTGGCATGCAGCATTGTCGTACAGCTGTTGGATGAGATGTATAATTTTCGGTGGCACCCCGTAGTACCGAAGTAGTTTCCAAATCACCTCTCGATCGACGCTGTCGAATGCCTTTTCAAAGTCGATGAAGTTGAGATAAAGAGGTGACTGCCATTCCAAGCTTTGTTCAACGATGATCCGTAATGTGACGATCTGATCAATACATGACTTGTTTCTCCTGAATTCAGCCTGTTTCGGTCGAAGTTTTTCATCCAGGGCTAACACATAATGTGTGTTATCTTTGCATTCTAAGTAAGACAGTTACCGGTTATCATGTTCAAACCATCATAAATAATTGAAGTCAACCCAAAATGATTATGACCCATTCATTAAAAATATAATTTCTTTACACTTATTCTCCAGGGACGTAAAAACTAGATTAAAGACTACCATTCATAAGTTCCTTTTTGATTTACAAAATGTCCTATCTTTTTCAGACCCACCATCTATTCATATCATCAGTCTCCCTAATCAACCGGTTACAAGACAATCTGTTTCATTATTCTGTCAAACTATTGGTGGAAATCCCATAAACGACTTGAAATATGCATGGTTTGTAGGCAAATCAACACAATTCTCTAGTTTACTGAATCAACGAGATGATGATGTCAAACGCTTAAAAGACAGTTCAAATGATCCGACCACAAATAATTCACCAAGCTTGTCTACACCACGAAATCATTTCTTACCATCTCCATCGCATACAATCCAAAGACCAGAATTTCCCAGTATGATTCAACTGACAGGTTATCATGACTCCTCTTTGAATCTGTCAAACATCAAATTATCACAGGCTGGTTGGTATGGTTGTGAAGTGTCTGGTGTTGGAGGAAGCTCATACGCACTACACTACCTTGATTTATATTGTAAGTTCTTCTGGTGTTTGTCTAACTAACAAACTCTTCTAATTACTAATATTTGTTGTATTGTATGGAAAAGGACCACATGCATATTTATTTGCCATGAAAAGACTGACTGTTCACTAATGCGGAAAGAGAAGAAATAAACATAATTAATAATCAATATTTCTGTTAGAAGTTTACACTGAAAACTCTAACTACCAGCTAACTTTAAGCTAATAATTAACAGACCTTTAATTAGGTAATAGAACATATTTTATAGATTAAATTATCAACAAACACGCAAAATTTATTTGCATAATAAATCTAAATGTTTAACAGGTAGAAGACAATTAATTCTTCAATACAAACAAATAAGAGAATTTTTTAAAGATTTTATTCTACGTGAAGTACTGTGAAATTTTTACTCAGTCGATTAAAAAAACACTATTCTGTGAGTCAATACAATGAACAAAGTCTTCTGGAACAAAAACGGAAATAGGGAATATAGGCACGTTAACCAGCAAGCCTACTCTATGCTCAAATTTAAAAAAAGATTTAAAACTTCATGCAATTCTTCCCATTAATAAACTTGAACAAAGCAAGAACAACAATGGTACCAGGTTAATTTGAGCTCATCTTTTATTATTTCGAGGATTCTTCTCAACTGGTTACAACCTGAACGATAAAAAAATATGAATTACACTACATTAAAGATTTGAACATACTTTTCCACGATCACAAGGAGTAATTTAAAACAAGCAATAAAGGTTAATAAAGCAGGATTTAATGAATTCATCAAATTTCGGTAGAACTCGTCAGCTGAATACTCTACATACACGGATATATACTTTTGAAGTTACATTGGGAGATATAGGACTGAATTCTTTACATACACGGATATATATAGTTTTGAAATTACATTGGGAGATATGGGACTGATAAGTAAATAAACTACATTGAATTAGTCATGCAGAAAGACAGGTGCGAATGTTTTTTCCAGGTCATGTGCAATTAGATAAGGGGAGAGAGAGTATGGGAGATCAAAATTAAGATAAATTGCATTACGCTTCAATTACATCACTTAGATAAACAATTAGACATTAGAGAATTTAACAAGAATTGCAACCAGAGGGATGTCAATAGTAATAGTTATAATAACAATAATATAATATAACAATAATAATAATAATAGTGTTGAAGTGGGTTAAGATAATGCTACTGATAAAGGATAGTTTTAAATGAATCAAGAATAATAATAATAATGAGAATAATAATAGTAATAATAAAATAATAATAAGAGGTAGAATTGTAAGTAAAACATATTACCATGGTAGATTCAGAGTCACGACCATCTCCTTTTGCACACAGAGACCTGGTTTGTAAAAACGAATTGCACAAGCCTCTGCAATTGCAAGCATCTTCTTGTTTCTTTGTCTGCTGACAATGGTGAATGACTTGACTGCGTCGATATCATGCCCGTAATCCACAAGATGCTTTGTTATTGAGGATTTTGGCACTTTGAACTCGGCTGTTTTCAACCATTTTGGCAAATGCTCCATCATGCGAGTAGACAATCTCCTTTCCGTACGACCTATGTATTTGCTTCCACAAACACACTCAAATTGATATACGCAGTTTGAAGTGTCGAGGATTGGCGACTGGTCTTTCCCAGATTGTTGAAGCACTCGCTTAGTGGTGTTAAGGAAAACAAGTTTTGCAGCATAATAAGTTCTCTTGATGGCTTTGTCGAGTCTTCGTTTGACTACTTCCTGTACATCATCTCCTTTGAACGGCAAGTTGATGTAGACAGGTTTCTTCGGAACTGTTTGGATTGTTTTGCAGCGGGTGTTTTCTTTAGAGTATTTATTAATGAACTTCTCAGGGTATCCATTCTTAGATAAGATATCCTTCAGGGATTTTGTTTCATACTCAACAGTACTGTCAGTCTAGATAAGATATCCTTCAGGGATTTTGTTTCATACTCAACAGTACTGTCAGAACAAATTTTTCGTACTCTATTGAACAGTGTTCTGACTAAGTTCTTTTTGTACTGGATTGGAACAAAACTCTTGAAATGCATGTACTGTCCTGTCCATGAGGACTTTCTAAATATAGATCTTTCGATTGTGCCATCATTCATTTTCGCCAGAAAAACGTCTAGGAATTTGATAGTATCATTTTCCTCGTGTTCTACTGTGAAATTGAGATTTGGATGGCATGAGTTGAATTTTATCAGCATGTCTTCGGCTTTTGATCTGCTTCCACAGGCAATAAAAATGTCATCAACATATCTTAGGTATAGATCCGTTTCTTGTATATGTTGTTGCAGGGTACCGGTTTCTAGGCGTGATAAGAATAAGTCAGCGAAAAGTGGTCCCAAGGGGACAAGGAGTAATTGGTAGGAAGTAAAAGTAACATTAATCCGGAATGATTTAACTAATTAGGACTTACAAACACTGACTATTTATAGAATAATAAGACGATTAGGCTTGGAAACAAGAAAAAACAGAGTTGCGTATAGAAACAAGGTTGAGCTAGAAAGAGCATAACAAAAAAGTGTATTACGTAACTAAAGAAAATGTTTTATCTAATAGCCAATAAAATAGGGAAAAACAAGATAGGATGAGTCATATTTAGATGAGAGAGTAGAGTTTTATGAACAAGAAAAAGGGTGACTCATGAAGGTTGTATATATTTTTTTGTTATCACCAGGGCAGTGGAAGATTCACCACTGTCCCTTTCTGCGTACATACATTTGGTTTGAGTCGTTTGATAGCAATTGCTTCAGCAAAGCGTAGCAAGCTAGGTTTCTTTTGCCTGTTGATTATTTTGAACGACTTTGAGTTGTCTACAATATGACCAGTGTCCAGTAGATGACGCGCAATCGCACTGTTTAATGCTTGCGGACCTTTCAACCTAAGGTTCTTTGGTATGTGTTCAGAAACCTATTCTATTCCATAGTCAGTGTTTGTAACTCTTAATTAGTTAAATCATTCCGGACTAATGTTACTTTTACTTCCTACCAATTACTCCTTGTGATCGTGGAAAAGTATGTTCAAATCTTTAATGTAGTGTAATTCATATTTTTTATCGTTCAGGTTGTAACCAGTTGAGAAGAATCCTCGAAATAATAAAAGATGAGCTCATATTATCCTGGTACAGTTGTTGTTCTTGCTTTGTTCAAGTTTAAAGATTTGACTCAACTTAAGCTTAGTTTATAGAAAACATAACCTGGAGACTGAATATTATCCCTTCTGGTTAAATGAAAGAACCAATAGTCATTTAGTTTTAAGAAATACGGTTTAAGAGGGTTGACCCTGCTTCTTTGACCGACTTCGAAACAAACTCTATTAGAAACAGGAGGCAAATAGCATTGAACACTAACAATGTGATCGAATTATTCTCTACAATTCTAACATCTACCATCCATTATTATTATTAGGGTATCTTAGAAGTCTAGTAGTAGTTCGTCACTAACGTGCTTCACTCAGCTAGATGAGTGGACAGCTAATCACTGGTGAGATTAAACTGCAACATTACATAGTAGAAGGTCAGAAGTTAGAAGTTTTGTATCATTGGAACTTTGTCGGGTGACTAAATAATGTCTTGCCTGTCACATTATATGAATGTCTCCTCCTGAATGGGGTCATGGATGCACAGAACTTGAGTTGAGTTCATTCAGCCTTTTTAACAATTTTTTTCTTTTCCAGTATATCTCAATACCTAACTTGTATTGTTTTCCAGACGAAAGAAAATTAGTATGATCGTCTAGTCCTGAGTTCTGCAGGTTTAGTCTAATAACACTGAATAATAAAAGTTGATGTTTTTTTAAGAAATTACATCCCATGAAGAAATCGAAACAATGGTGTGAATACGTAAAGTAATACTAGTATGATTTACAATTCAAATGTTTGTGATTCGTTGAAAATAGTCTCTTTTCGCTGAATCACTTATTTTGAATTTCTATATGTCCCAATGGAAATTTTCAAAAAAATTAAAAGTTGTTGTCTCAAAGATAACTCAGGTAGTAAGACTTACAGATGAAGGTCAAAATGTAAAACACATCTGAACTAAGACTTTCTGGAGAGTGATTTGTAATACAGGAACATTAATTTATGTATTCTGAAATTCTGAAGATGTAATAACTACTTGAGGTTGATAATGATCACGCAGAACTATGATAATTAACATAGAACTTTGTTTGTCTTAAGCAGTATAGAATAAGAAGGAAAGAAGCAATATAAAAACATTTTATTTCATAAGTTTTCGGCAAATCATTACAATTTATGATGTACGAAACATCAAATTATAGTCAAATTCTAGCTAATCAACTGAAAATCACTAAGTGAGTTGGCAGATTAAGGTTGTATGAAAACAGTGTGATGTATTAAACATTCACACTCAGTTTACATAGTTCTCATCTCTTCCGATGTCGAAGGATAATGCCTATGGTTTTAATAATTTACTTTAAATACACAACTTGCCTTCCTTGATATTGAATTAGTCACTAGTTTACGTAAGACAGTAATTAATTCAAGTGTTGGTTTGAAGGGATTTGATTTGATCTGATCTGATGCTCACTAGTGATTGATCCTATTCAGGTAGGTAGTTACCTGGGTTCTAATGGGAAATAGTGACCATTGAGGTACAACAGGTCGGGTGTGAGGACAGATACTCGCCGATGACATTGGCTAGTGGTCGCGCTACATCGTGAAGTGACAGAATTTGTAATTCATGCACTGGCCATTGGATGGGGCCCCAGTGGCTGAATTGCCTACGAGCTCACCTTGTAACCGGAAGATCCTGGGTTCCATCCAACCTTGGCGGTGAGTGCGTACTGCTGAACAGTCCTAGACTATGACGAAACAGTTGTTCAGTACTCTCAAGTGTTTTTCCAGTGGTTCTCTAACCGATCTCAGGTCATGATGAAATCCTGTGACAGTCATTACATGTTGTGAATGTAACGGTGAAAAAAAACACTAAATCATTTCATGCTTGCTTCTCCTTAATTCTATGGTACTTAAATAAATTACAGCTGAAAGTGGCAAAATTGGTGGAATCAACAGGGTGACTGGCGTATAGTTAAGACTGCAGCGCAGATACCCGCTGTGATAAAGCTACAACCACCTACAGTGAAGTATATGGAACAGGCTTTCCTGAATTACAGCACCTGACCAGTTGTTGATTCCTAAAGGTAGACGCCTCTTTGTATCACTTTTTGAAGTTACCTTATCCTGACTAAGTTCCAGAAGTGGTGTACAAACAGGCAAAATACCAATTACTGTATGTGCCTAAGTCCTTACTTTAGTCTTTCACACAATCTAAATCTAGGTTAACTGATAAGGCCTTCTTACACGTGTAAGAATTATTTTAGGTCTGATAAAAAATTGACAACCATTTGTTTCAAACTTTACTCCTTTATCTCTAATAAAAACCGTTTTATGTACTCTATATCTTCGTTTTTTATTTCCTACGAGCTCACTACCACACTGTCTTTAGAAAGCTCTACATTTTTTTCAAAATCTATGGTCACTAGTTGACCGGCGAGCTAGCGAAGGAGAGTTGAACTATTAGTAATGATTATAACAATAATGTGTTAACTGTTCCTATTCATTTTGCCAAGGTCTAATTCTATTGTGTAAATATTATTATTTAGATCAACCCATAATGAATCGACGAACTCAGACGCATATAATGGCACAAGTAGGTGAATCTGTCACTCTAGCCTTGTATGTAGATGCTAATCCACCGTGGGCAGAAGCTGAATGGTTTCAAATAGACACGTATAAAAATGAAGTTAGACAAATCAATGGTCCCCAGCAATATATTGAACCTCAGGCGTACTTTGAATCACCATACAACAACGATGGTTATCCATATTCGTATGAATCATGGCCACGTGTAAAAAGAGCAACTTATAATCGCCCTGAGTCTCATTCAGCAGATTTATCTGTGGGACGAAATACGCGCCAGTCTATTGGTCAAAAGGGAGGGCAGAGAAAAAATATTTTCGCTTCACGTGGTACTGGTCTCAATGGTAATCTCACCTTTTTACTCAGGTTTACAGAAGTTAAGCCTGATGACTTTGGTACATATATCTGTCAAGTTCGTCATCAGTTAGGTGTAAAGGAATTCAATTTCTACTTGATCAAAAAGACTGGTAAGTGAAATCTATGAATATAAATATTCTGTTTATTTGTATAATAACATGGATGTCACTCATCGCTTTGAATTGTTGTCAATAATTCGTGAGCCAAGTTAACATCACTTCAATAAGTTCAAGTATAAAATTACTCTTCAATCTGTGAATCCCATTTGGTGAAGCCTTTTAGGCTTTTACTGACTTTTTTATGGACTATAACTAAAGATCAGCCAGCAAATTTTCACATTATTAATCTGGAGGCCGAAGTTTAGAATCTTATCATAACCTACGTTTCATTTCCCCTTCGCACATTATGCGTAACATCGATGTCAGCTTATCAGTCTAAGGATAACTTTGATATGCTTTTGGCGTGATACAGATTGATGGAAAGTGTCCAAAATTAAAATCAATATTTTCAGTCAATGTCTGCAGAGGTAGAAGTATTTATACCTCAAATCTGAAATATTAGTTCACATTGTGGACACGAAATAACCTCATTGGACAAATCGTTTTACCTTGAGTCAATTGCAAACCAATCAGAATAATCTATTCTCCTCTGACCTAGTCGAGCTCTAATGTGGCTAAGAACGTGTAAATATGATGTGTTTTTCTTTAATAAAGGTCCGTTACCAAGTCCCTTATCGTCTCCCGTCACTTTTTTCAACAAAAAGTAAATATATTAGTGCATTGACCAAGTAGATCGTAAAGTCAAGAACGGTGATAAGAAATGTATAAAACTGACATGAGATACTCCATCCTACAATAAAACTAGAAATGTTCATAACAATATTATTTTACTTGTCCGAATATCTATAGTTTATATCACAGCTGATAGCGGTTACTGAGTAGTAAGTGTCATAATTCTTTAACCTTCGTTGAATGACTCATGGGAACTAACCTCAGGAGTATGAGAAATGCAAAACAACTGAATATGGTGTATAGATTACTTACTACTGTAATAAATGGAATCTAATCATAACTGTCATTGAGATTTTCTGATAACTTAAAATAACTTCTGATGTGTAAATCTATTCTGAAGCATTCTGAGAACTGTCTTTAAATTTGACTCGTTTTTCTCAACTATAAAACCTATAACTTATCCAGAATGAAAATAGTTATTTGTAAATTACAGCGTCTGAAGGGAAATTTCACCACTGTTTCCTATAGAAATATGAAACATTTCAGCCATAGGTGACCTGCTTGACACTATAAATATCATTTAAAAATTAAAGAAAACTTCAGAAGTATATATATACATATATATGTATATCAGAGTGATTTAATATCAAGAGAGTCGCAGGAGGTGAGATGGGACTAGGATAGCTTTCATTTTCGCATCCCACAATATCATCGATGGATTGATGTCCCGCAAAGTAGACAAAAATATTCAGTTACGGCTGTGAAACTTATTATGAAGTACAGATACTGTTTGGCTAATGATATATTTCAGTAATGCATCGGTGGCACAGCTGTAGAATGCTTGCCAACTACGCCTCATGTGGTTCGGGGTTCAATCCCCCTGCCGACGCATACCTCGCTAAATCAGTAATAAGACTGGTAAAGTGGGGAGGTTGAGCTGGGCATCAGGCAAGCAACCCGATCCCGTAAAAATAAACACCACTGCTACTGTAACCTCAAGCCTCTAGCTTGAAGCCCTATGTCCCACTGCGAAAGTAAACGAATAAAAAATAAATTTCAGTAATATATTGATTAGCTAGAATACCATAAAATTCACTAATTACAAATAATTACTCTGCGTTTTAGAAAGCTTGTATCAGATATCCCTTGATAAAAGTAAGAACTCGTAGTTTTCATTTGTTTTCAAATCAAAATGAAAACCACTAAATTAAAACATCACGATTATATTTTATCTCACTGCTGGAACAGGTGCTGGAGTTATAACAGAGGATTCAATCGAGATTATTCATCATGGATCAACTACAAGCATTTTATTTAATCCTCCAATGAAATCTTCCTTTACTAGACTTGTACTACGCGTCTGTCGACGTGATGCCTTCATAGCAAATCCTTTACACTTGGATAAATCATCTATCAGTAAGCAACATGTTAGACAAGATGTTCAATACCAGAAGAGAGTCAAAAGAACTGTCAGCTTGGGGAATACAACAAATCAAAATGATATGAATCGACTGGACAATTCCCAACAAATGATCAGCTCCCGATCTGTTGGATGTGAAGATTATCACGTTGCAAAACCTTGGTTAGGAAAGATGGAAGTACATTTATCTGATGCTATTCAATTGTATAATTTCAGATTCCTTTTATTTCAAGGCACTAAACTTCTACAAGAAACATCTCCCATATTGTGGCAGCCAGGTAGGTAGTATATTCCGTCACTTTTAATAATGCCTATTAAAATATTTAATAAAGAGAACAGCCAGGAAACATGAAATACAGAACCTATAACCTTCGCTTAGTAGTCGGGACAGTCTTATGTGATGTGTTTGAGAGGTTACTATCTTCGCTTTTAAAACAATGATCTATGTGTTGGTGAAATTTAGGTCATAGAGTAGTCTGTCCATATTATCAACATTGTAACTTACTGATCATATAATCAAAATGTTTAACAGCTTTAAATGGTCGTAATAAATTTAAACATCCACTTGCTAGTATTACTCAAAGTAGAACACTTTCATTTTTTATTCAATCGACAATTAATTCAATGAAGACAAAATGCTTTCTAAAGTCCGCTTATCATAATCATCTATAGAATGTAAACACAAAAATTTATTAAATAAAATATTTCACTCACTCAAGGTGACTTTGGTATATTATCCCAAACGTTAAATACAAGAAACATTCTCTTCAGCCATAATTTTCAGTAGACGTAAGAAATTTATTCCACCTAATTTCACCAAGAACTCAAGAAATCATTTATACCAAACTCACTTTAAGTTTTTAGATAGTTTCATGAATGCAGGCAGGCAGTTGGCAGTATTAAGTTAAATATATTTTTACTGCGGATTAAAGTGTGTCCTTGTGTAATGTCCACTCTACAGAACAATTACAGATTTATTTATACAACATATATATAATGAATAATTGATAGATTTAAACATGGTGGGAAATGTGAGTTAATAGTTGTTTTTTTTAAACAGCATGCATTCTTTAATTTAATTTAGATTTTCCCGTCGATTGATTGAACCGAAGTGCTCAGTCTCAGGTCGACATGTTGGCTCCTTGTGCAGTTGCTCCGACGATGCCTGATATTCACAAGCAGCCGACATGTCAATCTGAGACTGAACACTTCGGTCCAATCAATCGACAGGAAAATCTAAATTGAATCAAATAACAAAAGAGACCCGTTGCACAAGAGGTGGCTCTTGTGGCCCAAGTGGTCTAGTGTATAACACTTCAGCGTTCAAAGTATGGGCAATGGGTTCGAGCCTTGGTGGGAACACAATCACTCACTGTGGAATGCAGGTGCATCCATTTAACGAGTCCCGACTGGGACGCAGTTCGCATCTTGGATCCCACCGCTAGTCAACGCCCACCAAGTGACTTCAAGCATGCATTCTTGATTTGGATAGTGGACTAAACTTTTCAAGACAATATTGCTAGATTTAACTTATCCACTAGTTGACCTCAGTTTGTGATAACATCCATCCTAGAATGCTACTCTTTTAAAAAGGGAACTACAAACATCTTTCTAGATTTATCATATTTGATCACCTGTACTCATGAATGTGTTCTTCGAATGAATTGATTCTATTTAAATACCTTTCGTCCTTAATTAATCATCTTTTGTTTTGTACTTTCAACTACAGAAATAGCTAAAGATCGAGGTGTTTTCAGTAAATCGTTGTTGGCGTTAGCCGTCACTGGTGGATGTGCACTAGTGATTGTATTTCTTATCACAGCAATCATATTCTACTCGTGTTATGGAAGAAAGAAACGCAGTAAGTATTTTGGGTTTGAAAAAAATTAACAAGTAGATATTTGTTATGAAGTTTGTAAACTTTTAATCAAAGCTCTTCTGCTCAAATATAAACAAATTCTTTTTCTGTATCTGTCTAAATCATTGAATATATGAAAATAAAACTAAACATTGAATATCGTTTCATACCTACTAAACATTCACTTTTTTCTCCTGATACTTCCGTACTTCTGTAACGTCCCGTGTGAAGTGGTATAATAGGGTGAGCATTATTGAGGTTAGGCGTCGAGTGCTAGGTAAGGAGGGGAAATCAATTGAAGAGGCTGTGAAATTACATCGAGTGAGATGGTTAGGACATGTGTTACGCCTGCCTAGTCATCGCCTTCTTCCACGGTCAATGTTAACTGACATATGGTCAGGTTGGAAAAGGGCCAGTGGTGGTCAGATCAAAATATGGCCTCTTCAGTCAATGAAATGAATCCACAACAGTTCGGTTAAGCCAGCCAGTCACGTAGGAAGGTGTAGATTTCCTGGTTGGGGTTCTCGGGACGGTAAACACCAGTGGTGGTGGCTGGAGACAATTGATGATATGGATCAAAGTGATCGCTCTCAATGGATGGCGCAGATGCATCCACTCCTTGTGACTTATAATACCCAATAAAACTATATTGTTCTTCGATATAACTATTCTTTTTGCCTCATATCTCTGTTTAGTGGCTCTATTTCGTATTTCTTTTTACTTTCTTTTCTTGCTTTGTGTGCTACGAGGAGGGAGTGTGGCGACTTGAACTGCTGCACATCGGTGCAAGGTTCTATGTCGAAAACAGACAGTCAGACAGACTTCTGTAACGATCGAAAATCAAGTGTTTCGGTTTGAACACAGGAAACCAATCGTTATGTTCCTCTGTATAGTGACACACAGTTTAAAACTATTCCAACAATGTCGAAAACACACTTTGATTTGATGGGATCTGTAGTACTATTCAACAGTAATTACACATCCAAAATACGAAACTACATCAACGATACCATCTGTCAGCTATACAGTCCAAAATTTTCTCAGGCAGAAAATGCATAATGTATAACAGACTTACGTGACCAAACATAATTGTTAATAGCCTGATAATCAGCAAGAAGGATCAAAACTCTGTCTGCAAGAATCAAATAGAAAAAAATTTGTTTCCAGCAGATAGCTCAAGGTCGAGCGATGACTCCATGGAGCAACCTTGACTTCACTGAAATAAAATCTTTATCAACACCATCAAACAACAGCAAAGAGAAGTGATAAAATTAAAGCTGGATCCAAAACAAAGACAAATAATGAGAATTAAGTCTAAAGGAGATATGCGAATGTCAGAACAATGATATGCAGCTAAAGGGAAAATCCAGAGTTAGCTGAAAAATCTAAATAGATAAATAAATTCAAGTTTGACTACGAATTGATATCAGTTAGAGAACCACTGAAAGTGAGGGAGTACTGGAAACCGATCCATTAGCCCATCAGTTTCAACTTCTACAAATCTGTGATTTTATCACAACTACCAACTAATGTCATCAGCCATTATTTGTCCTCACTCCCGACTGGGTGGACCCCTGTGGGCACTACTTCTCATTAGAACTTCAGGCAAATTCCTCCTGTAGCCAGTCACTAGCGAGCATCAGACTAGTCTTTAAGAGTTAGTTTGCAGAGGTTTCATGTTTTTTCAGGTTTGGCTACGGACTGATATCAGTTAGAGAACCATTGAAAGGCAGAGAAGGTCCTGAGTTCGAACCCCAGTGGGTGTGTACTGCTGATGAGCGTCAAACTAGGGGAAAAGAGCTGTCCAGTACTCCCTGGTGGTTTTCAATGGTTCTCTAAGTGAAATCACTTCGTGGTCAAAGCTGAAACGGATCAAGTGTGTACAAACTAACTCTTAAAAATAAATAGATTGTTTCATGCAACCGGTTCCCTTTATTAGTTTGAAGAGAGAAAGAACGAACATGTTTGCAGGATAATACGAGCTCGTTTTATTTCGTGGATTCTCATCAACTGCATACATCCTAAACAAAATCAAATTATAGGTTTCAAGAAAGTTGTGGAACATACTTTTTCATAATTACTTTGAGTTATAGATAGAAGGCATAAGGAACATAATTCCAGAATTTGATGTAGGTAGACAGATTATTCGGTGTCAAAAACAACTAATTATATATAGTGGAATTAGATAAGAGGGGTAAGAGTTCAGATTTCTATTGGAAAACAACACAGATTGGTTAGAGGCATATTACGGGGCCAGGGTCAGAGAACAGAGTGAATTTACACATCTTGTGGTGGAGAGTTTAAGAGGGTGGGGGTGAATAGTGAAGTAGCATTTTTAACTTAAACAGACAAACAATTAAGTAGATTTAGAAACTTGAAGGTCAAAAGTGAATAGAATGTTGCGTAACAAGACAAACACACAGGCATACTGACAGAAAGGCAAAACCAAAATAAAATAAAATAGAGTAAGGGTTACCAAGGTAGTGAAAGATTAGTCACACTATCTTTCTGTATACAGAGGTCTGGTCATGGGTTGTTCATGGGAGGATTTCCAGATCAATTATTCTGCTACAACTTCTTGAATTCTTTAAATAAATCTGAAAAAATCATTTGATTTTTTAGATATCTACTGAGTTATACAAATACAGTTTGATATGGTTATTTGAATGAATGGACAATTATTTGAAATTATAGTCAGTATTAAAAGTTTATTAGGCACAGTTAAACACTTTATGGAACAATCTAATTTGCAATTAATAGTGTTCTCTGAGCTGGTTGGTTTGGTTGCGGAGCTTTCGTCGTCCTTCTGGACAACACCTTCAGTGCAATACTTAGCATAAAGCGAAATGATTTGAATTTCTTCATGAGTGATATAATTGCGTCTCCCGATAACCATCTTTACATACGTACTGACCATTTTCTATTGACTTCGATTTTAAACTTTCTGGTCACTTGTTTAAAAGAGTTCAAACACATTGTAGCACTCCAGAGTTGAAAAGAATGGAAGAAAAATACCTACAAACAGTCTTCAAAAAGAATGGTTATCCACAAAATTTCATCAAAAAGTGTTTAAAGTCGAATCAAAACACCAACAAGAGATCATCATCAAAGACCACAAGAAAATTCATCCTACCACACATGAGAAATATCTCTGAATTAACAGCTAGAATACTGAAACCGTCTAATATAGATATAGCACACAAGCCAGTCAAATCGCTTAATTCGATATTATGCAAACCGAAAGATCAGACAGAAAAAGGAGATAAAATTAATACCATTTACAAAATAAACTGTATGGACTGCAACAAGCATTTCATCGGCCAAAGTGGGCGTCCCCTTCGAATTAGAATCCAAGAACACAAATCAGCCCTGAAAAGACACGATATATATTCTTTAGTGTCAATGCATGTAGACAATTATGGACATCAATTTGATTAAGATAATGTCGAAATCTTAAACAGAGGAAACACTAAAGGTGCCAGGGAATTCCTAGAAGTCTGGTACTCAAACGAAAATGCAATTAACAAACACATTAATATAGACGAAATATACCAACTAATAAAAAGTAAATCAGGTGACCAGAAAGTTTAAAATCGAAGTCAATAGAAAATGGTCAATACATATGTAAAGATGGTTACCGGGAGACGCAATTATATCACTCATAAAAAATTTAAATCATTTCACTTTATGCTAAATATTGCACTGAAGGTGTTGTCCAGAAGAACGACGAAAGCTCCGCAACCAAACCAACCAGCTCAGAGAACACTATTAATTGCAAATCATCCACCTGAGCTACAAATCTTCTCTATTATTTCAGAACAATCTAATTCTCACACCTAATTAATTGTGGTTCAAATCTTCAGTAACCTACTGATAAGTGAGCAAACAGGTTACCGATTGATAATTAATATAACATTTTTAAGTATTGGTTTTTGATAGGGATTGTGTTTGATTGGTTGGAAGGTTTCATCATGAGTTGACATCAGTTAGGGAACCATTGCAAAACCTGGGAGTACTGGACTGCTGCTTCGTCCTAGTTTGGGACTCTTCAGTAGTACGAGGTCGCCTTGTAATCAGAAGGTCCTGAGTTCGAACCCCAGTGGGTGTATACTGCCGAGGAATGCCGAACTACGACAAAACAGCTGCCTGGTAGTACTCTCATTTGGTTTTCCAATGTTTCTCTAACTGATGTCAGCTTGCAATGAAACCTTCCAACCAATTCATATAACAGTTTATTCAACCTGATAACACAAGAAATGCTGTTAGACTATTCAGATCACATTACAACGAATGTGTCGATATTATAGTTCATTCATAATGCAACGATAATATATCCTATATCCTTAGTTAATTCATTTCAAATTTGTTAGTCAAATGTAAAATATGATTACTTAATTGATTGAAATGTTATAACTGTTTTCCCTGAAGTCATTCGATAAACTTCTCTTTCTCTCTTTGTATGGATCTTCTGTTCATAAGCATACACCAATACATGCAAATCTGTAGACCTGCACAATAAGTAAATGAAATTCCCAAATTCAATTGAAAGTGCTACACAATTAAATTTATCACTGACTGTATGTAAATCAACTCAACATTATCCCAATTCGCTAACCAGAATGCAACCAAATTCTAGGAGTCATTCGCACTGATTTACCCCCTAACACTCAGCATAAAAGGTAGACACTATAGCATATATGAGTGTTTGGTTACTCAAAGTAATACCACTAGTGAATAGCTGTCTGATGAATTTCAATCAATACAAAGAAACAGCTAGTAAGGCTAGTCACTATTATTCAGTAAGCCATTCAATTAAAAAAAAGTCTCATTAGATTAAAACTTTCAGTAGGGTTTCATCAGTGATTCTTTTACTGTTAAATGCAAAGTAAACCAGCAAGACATAATTTGTTTATTTATTTACTAGATGAGAAGTTTGATTAACAAACGTTCTCTGACCTTAAAAATTCTTTCGTTTTGAAGGAACAGTTGCTTCAAAGTTGTAA